GCTCTTCTATAAAATTTCCATATAAAAATAACGGTATTTATTTACAAAGTTTGAGATGCTATAAAATAATACATCATATTAGGTTAGGTACTTCGATCTAGTCAAGTCTACATTAGGCAAGTCAGATGTGGTGTCTGCATCTTCCCCTTACTTCTCTTGTTTAAACTGCTTAAAGCATGTGGCACCACCACGTTTCCTTCATGCAGAAAAAAAGCAGACCTATATTTTCTGGAAATAAAACCCAACAGTACATGATCAGAGTAAAGCATCTCCAAAGGAAAAGGTGAACAAACTTGTGATTTGGGCTCACAACCTCTCTTTTGTCTCAAAGTCAAATGTGGTGGTGGTAAACAAAACAGTTCAAGGAACTCACAGTACCAAACCGCGGTCCTCAGAGCTCAGGCCTGCGGAGTGGCCGGCCAGGGCGGTCGGCCGGTTGCTAACGAAAGGTGGAACCTGCCATCGTACTACTAGGAGGAACAGAACTGCAGTGTGCTCAGAGAAGTCTTCTAACACAAAAGTATCTGGGTCCCCAAACTGTAGTATGAAAAAAACACTGACCCCAGTCAAGAACAAGCAAAATAAAACATCAGGCCATTTGTTACTAGGTGGTGCCTGGCATGTGGAAGATGACGTATGATTAGTGACAACACGGTGAGTTTGAAGTGACAAAGGGTTTTCAACCCCAAACATGATCTGGGGGAGTTTCCTTGTTGAGACAGACATGGACAGAAACAAGCTAATGTGGTACAGAAGGATCCACTGATAACCCAACCTCTCAAGCCTCCTACCAATGACCAACATGCAGGACAGTCTTTGCTCACGGAGGAATGAGTTTCTTCCCAGGTGTGAGGTCTAAACCTAGGGTCTTCCAGGTTGAAAGAGGCCCAAAGCTGACACCACAGTCTCATGCTGGGGACTCATGAGTGGAGTCCCACTTCTGCTCCTCGGCTGTGAAGCACTTGGTGCGACAGAGGACTGATATTTATTCAAAGTGGTTTGGAAGGACTATGGTGAGGGTGTGGTTTTCAGGAAGCCATGTGGCCCTCACAGGAGGAAGAAATTCTGGGTTGTGGTGCAGATTCTGCCAGACAGGCCGAGGGATGTTAGACAGGTCAGGCTCTTGGCTTGTTTCTCAATGAATGGGGCAGAAGAGATGGTCCCTTCCATTCTGAGACTGTTGGTGGAGAAAGGGTGAGTCCTGCCCCTATTTCATCTACACTGGCTTTCAAAGCAGCTCTAAGCAGGGAGGCCCAAAGTCCCGTCTGCTGGAATAGCAAGGGTCAAGATAGCGTTGGATTCTAGAGCCCTTTTTGTAAAGCAAAGGTTGTATAAGAATGACACAGGATTTTACCTTGACTGAGAGAAGAGCTGTGAGGAACGCACCTAAGAAACGAATACACTTCCTGCTGTCTCCAGTACTAACATGCATGGCCCTCCGCTGCCATTTAAGCTTCCACACTTGTCAGAGATGCCCAGGGCATAACTGGAGGGTCAAAGTTTCATGTCCCCCACTTTTTCTTTAGCATACTGTGAACGTAGATGTATGTGGGGAAACTGGATCTCCAAGGTTACATAAGCATAACTGTTCAGAGATACCTTGAAGAGGCTAATTCCTGAGAAATGTTATTATTTATGTGGGTGTTTAAATTTTTCTTAAAAAGGTAAGATCTTAAGCAAACATCAGGCTTTTCCCTTTTGAGTAATAATGTGGCTTCCCTGAAGGTTAAACTAACTGAACGTTGTGCCGACTGTGATTTAGAGGGCAGGGAGGCACACTCCTGAGGCAGATGGCCCGGTGCAGGCCCCTGGCACACACCTGTGGGTCTTCCATAAATACACATTTATGATCGGCAGTGCCTAGGGACCGCTGCCGTGGGTCATGAAAATGGGGAGCCTATTTGTGAAAATATCCTGGGGGAGCCTTTAGCTCCACTAAGGCCAATCCACATGTAGAGTAATACAATGTATGTATCTAATATAAAAAGTAGATTTTTAAGTATCCAACCATTTGAAAAACTAGAAGAAAACACCTAGAAAAGTGATTACTTTTCTATGGTATAGGTTCCATTGCAAGGTGATGAAACTAGTAACGAGAATGTCATGGATTAGTTAGATTTATGGATACTGCTGGTAGCTAAATTTTTCTTTTAAATCTTAAAAATTCCTTAACAAACTCCAAAATGTATGCTTAAAACTAGAATTTAGTAGCAACTCCAAGTGCATGTTATGGGACAGAGTGGTATGGCAACTCTTTCAATTGTCTGACCCAGGACAAATGTCACTTTCTCAGGGGGGCCTTCCCTGGCCACCCTAGCCAAAGTTGCCTTTTCCCCCACTGTCATATTACCCTGTCATTTTTTCCCTTAGCACTGATCATTCTCAATGTTTTCTGTTCTGTATTCACTCAAATACCTACTGGAGGATTAAATCTTCACATTCACTGTCCAACACCCACCCCGTACTTACCACTAAGGAGGTACAATCTCAATACCTACATCCCAGATTTGTTGGGGAGACACACTTCTTTAATATGCCTGAAGATAGGGAGCTGGATAGGTATTTAAAGGGCCCTTAAAGTGAACCACTGATCAAGTTAAACAGGCAATCCCCCCACCCCCGCCCCAACTCTCTGAGTGAGGTTATGAGAGAAACAGCTTTGGCAGCTCCCTTCCTTTGTAACCCTGCCCCCAAGAACACCCACGGCCACTATGTTCTGACTGTCCCGGGGTCCAAGTTATACTTGGAGCAACTTTGCTGTCTCTGTGACCCAAGCAGCCAAAAGAGTTGTGGTTTAACAAACACGAGTGACAGATGTCTGCATGGCTAAAGGGAACCACGACTTTGTGAAACATGGCCATCTTAATGATCTGGTAGGAGCTAACTTGCATTTGAGGACCAACCCTGGCTTTATTTTTCAAGTACGGCAGGGAAATTTTGCCCACGAGAGGAGTTCTCCTCTTCCATCCTGCTAAAATGGCAGAAACTCCCCACCATTTCTATAAAGAATTAAATTGCGGGAAACCAAACATGTGGTCATCATCTGTCATGTTGCCCAGGGCCAGTGTGCACGGCTGAGGTGAGGAGTCACTGTGTCAGCACCCCCTTCCCTGCCTGCTCCACAGCATCCTCTGTGGTCATAAGGCACAATTCACATCAGCACTTACTAGAGCTGTCCTCACCCCCTTGTCAGCACAGGGAAGGATGAAGTGGATGAGACAGATTCACGGTGGGGGTAGGGCGAAGGGAAGCTCAGGCAGGTGCCTGGGTGCCCTCCCCGCATGCGTGCAGGGCGGCCATGGCAGGTCTGGTGCCCCCTGTGCACATGCTGAAGGGAGCATGAACTTACTGACCGGCTGACACCACGCACTCGGAAGGGTCATAGCTGCACTGACCCTTGAGGAGGAAAAAGGCCTCTTGAACTCCCCGAAAAGCAGAGTGGGACCAGCACCTTCTGGGAGCGGTGTGGTGTGTGTGTGCACTCACGTGTACATGCGTGTGTGCAAGTAACCCCATAGGCTACGCCTATGAAGAATCCTGGATGTTGTAACCATAATTTCCTAACATTTTGTTACTTTGACTTCTATATGGAATTGTGACTGAGTGGTGAACTTTTAAAAAATCTCTTTAGGGAAGATACAGAAGAATAAAAGAGTTTGTCTTTCTAAACATCTCAACTTAGTTTTCCGCTCAGATAAGGTTTTATACCAGCAACATGTACTGGTGAGCACAGTGTGACTCCAACAGATGTCCTCAGCAGTAAGCCAAACACATCACTGAGGGACACAGGCCATTTCCCACCAAATACCACAAGCATATGGCTGAGAGGGCCAATGATGGGGCACCAATTATGTTAAGAGTCTTTGGTTGCTTTTAAAAAAACAAACCTGTATTTTATCAGTTTACAACACTACAGCAGAGAGAGAGAGAGAGAAAGGTGTGGTGTCCCAAGAGCTCCAGCAAGGACTCTGCTATCTGGTGGAGGAATGGTTATGGTTAATGTATCTGCACAAACGCAGATGTTCAGGTCTTGGAACCTGTAAAAGATATTTTGAAGACTAAAGAGCTAGCTGTGGCCCTTGGCCTCTCCAGGTCCCTGCTGGGCCCCCCTCAAGTATAGGGATGTGGGTGGTTAAGGCTGGAGTTAGTAAAGGAGGTGGCAGTTTGGATGGAAACTCAGTTTTACTCAACTATGTAGCTGATGATCTTCAAGTCAGAAATGTCTTGGAAGCCCTCAGGGCCCTGCTGCAGCCTCTGTGGTCTTTCAGACTCCTGCCACCCCCCCAGCCTCAGAGGTGTGCCCCAGAACTTCGGCTGAGACAGAACTCTCTAAGAACTGCCTCAACCGCCCTGCCCCCTTGACCACTCCGAGTCTGCACTATGGCTTCTTTCTGACAGAATGAGTGTTGTCTCAAAGGAACTTATGTTAAAGTTGTGTGTTCTTCTGTATTAGTTTTCATGGCCTTAGTAAAAATTTTAGGTCAGCCGAATCTTTCACCTCCGGCTCACTGGAAGCAGAGTGGAAGAACTTTAAAAAGGCATCAGAAGGCATCTGTACTTCCCCCATGGATTTAGAAAAGCACTGATCTGGGACAAGGTTAGTGCTGGGCCCAAAGGCGCTAGATTAATCTAGAGGCAAATCCAAATGATTCGACTCAAAGTTATTTTCCATTATTATTTGCTCCTTCTCAAGGCCTTACTGTGAAATTAGATTGGGGTTTGGCCACGCTGACAGATGTCCCCACGCTCCCCTGTTCGGAGGAGAAGGGACTGTGAACACACCAGTGCAGTGCTCCCGGTGGCGTCTTTGGCTAGGAAACAACGTACTGTATACCGCACAATATGAAACAGATCCAATCGTTTGGAGTGGTCAATATTTTTCCCTGTTTCTGTGAAACACTGAATATTGGGTTAGTTTGAAATGCAATTTAGCCAGGCATAAACCCAATACGGTAATTTTGATTAACGAAAATGTACAAAAGGTGACATGTACAGGAAAACACTGCTGTCCATATTCTTGAAATAGACTTTTCTTTTAAGACAAAAGTAATGACATTTGGTTCATTTTCACAAATTGCACACTGAGTGAAATCATACAAGTACTGTAGGGAACTCCAAGCAAGCAGTTCGGTCATAGGAATTTGTTTCTTTGTTTTGTTTTAAATGGAAAAGCTATATGAAATGCATAGCTTTGATTAAAACTAGAGATACAATTTCCTTCTCTGTAAAACTCCAGATTTAGAATGCTGGCAAAGGCAGTGCTGGCGAAGTATTTAATGCACGTGGAAATGCTATTCTATTTTGGCTTCCAGAAGTAGCCCTAGAAAATTCTATGCACCAATGCATTGGCTAATAATGATCATTTCAGTTTTACTATACATTTTTCTAAATGTCACTTAAGTACTTAAGAATTAGCGCTTGCTCCTTTCTAGAAGCCGTCTAAGGCAGCTGATGCGTCAAGCACCTCAACTAGACTTTCAACTAGTTCAGCAGTTCAATCTGTGCTCCTTAGACCTCAAGGATTGCCAACCACATCCCTCACTGTACAACTCACCCCCCCTGGGATCCTTTCACGGTCACTTCTGCTTGTAAAAGGCAGCCCAGCCGAGGAAGAGAGACATGACAAACATGATGTCACGGGCTGTTCACTACAGCAACCTTGATTCTAAGGAGGGTTACGTGGATGTGGGGGAACACAAAGATCCCACCTCGTGGAGGATAAACGAGCTTCATTCATGCTGCCAATTCTTTAGGGGCTGTCCCCTCTATCACCTCAGAAAACCGCTTTGTTTGCGGTGTGAGCCAGGGCTCTGTCGGTCAGAGTTTTCATTCACGCTAACTTTCATCTCAATCATCGCAGCCTTCAGGTAATTTGCTTATTGTGTTTCCCTAGTTTTCACTGAACACACAGTGCAAACAAAGGCAAAGACTGAAGCAATCATTTCAAAAACAAGAGCTCACACTAAAAACACACATGAGCATCAAATATTAAAACGTGGGTTTTCTCCTGTCTTTATTCCGGGGAGGAGGAATCCTCCTCGTCATCTTCCTCGTCGTCGTCGTTGAACGAACAGGGGGTCTCGCCTCGTGACTCAGAGCAGTGAGAGGCCGCACTGCTGGACTGGTGACTGTTTGGGGCAAGGAACTGCCCGGTTGCTAGGGCCACTTCAGCATCCAAGCACAACCCTTGGTTTACACTAGCAAATAATTGAAAACACACAAGCTCATTAATGCGGCAAATGTTTTAAGCTTTGTAAAATGTAGGACTAAAAACATGGGGGACAAGGTGCCACTGGGGCGCTCTGCCCAAATCTGCTCCAGAAAGACCTGCACTGGCACCTGCGGAGGGCTCAGGGCCTCGCCGCTTCTCTTTCTAACCCTGAAAATATACGTACCTTGATTGGGACAAGGTGGCACCAGCGGTCAGGTCTAAATTTGAAACTGATTGAGTAGAGTTCAAAAGTAGTCCCTGATTTAACCAGGAAGGTCCTGTGGAGATGTCTATAGGGAGAAACAGAAACAGAAGATGTCGGCGCGCCGCAAGGTGAAGGAAGCACGGACAAGGAAGGGCATGAGCCTTATCTACATTACAGCCAGGTGAGGGGCGCCTGGGTGGCTCAGGCGGTGCAGCGGCTGCCTTCGGCTCAGGTCATGATCCCAGGGGCCTGGGATCGAGCCCCGCATCGGGTTCCCTGCTCCGCGGGAAGCCTGCTTTTCCCTCTCCTTCTGCCTGCCTCTCCCCCTGCTTGTGCGCTCTCTTGCAAATAAATAAATAAAAATCTTTTAAAAATTACAGCTAGGGGGCGCCTGGGTGGCTCAGTTGGTTAAGCGACTGCCTTCGGCTCAGGTCATTGTCCTGGAGTCCCGGGATCAAGTCCCGCATCGGGCTTCCTGCTTGGCAGGGAGTCTGCTTCTCCCTCTGACCCTCCCCCCTCTCATGTGCTCTCTCTCATTCTCACTCTCTCAAAATAAATAAATAAATCTTTAAAAAAAAAAAAAATTACAGCTAGGTAAGTCTCCTGCCCTGGGGAGAATCCACATTTTTTTTGGCTTGGAAAAAGGAAATCTCTAGGACATAAGAACAGGAAAAAAATATGGGAAGGTAGACTACAGTGAGGAAGAATTCAAATTAAACCAATCACAGACTCCCATTCTTTTTTCTTAATGAAGACCTCAAGAGAGCAGCTGAGAGTACAGTGATCACTGCACTATTCCTGGACACTTGCTATCCTCACCACCAAAGACTCTGACTGGTGTTAAAAGCCGAAGCCAGGAGTGGGTAGAAAAGAAAGTCAAATCAGAAATAGGCAAGAAGGACAGGGGCGCCTAGGTGGCTCAGTCATTTAAGTATTTGACCGACTCTTGATTTCGGCTCAGGTCGTGATCTCAGGGTTGTGAGATGGAGCCTCCAAGCTGGGCACAGAGCCTGCTTTGGATTCTCCCTCTCCCCTTCCCCACCTTCTAAAAAGAGAAAAAAAGAAAGAAATAGGTAAGGAGGATAAGACACGTTTTTGCTAGAACTCCCACTGTACACCTTCTCACGTGCCCCCCAGTGAACTCCAGTGCTATTACTCATCAAAGATACATTCTTCTTCCTGTTATCCTTTGCTCTGTAACTCAAACTAGCCCTTATTTTAAAAGGTCGTATGCAGTCACATTTCTAATGAAGGTGAGACACGCATTACTGTTTTAGGTCTGCATAAAATATTTTGGGTGTATATCCTTGCAATCCTATTTTCTGTGCATATACTGTATTTCTCCAATCACAACCCTGATAAATTCTTATTGTAACTTTATTAGTTTCATACTGGTCTCATTATCTAGAATAGTAGCTCAAGGAACATTTAAGATCTAAATGTTACTGAATGAATGAGTATAGTCTCTTTCACAGCAAGTTTACAAAAGAGGTGAAAGAAACGATAGAAATGTATTCCTATAAAGAAATTCTTTGACTTACATTACAAAATAAGACCGAATATACACTCAGAAAGTGCAATTTAGTAATGCGCCTTTATAATAGTTAATCAAAATAGTTTTGTAATTACTGTGCAAAAAAAAAAAAAGAACCCGCAAAAACTCTACAACTATGTACTAGAATTGAAAACTCTGCTATCCTGGTAATGTCTGACCAAGTGAGAAGCTTCCTATGTAGGAAAAAAGGAAACTAAATGATTTCATTAATTTTGGAATGGCCTTGTGAACCTTTTTCTTTATAGGCTAGCTAAGGAAGCTGTGGAAAAAAAAAAAAGAACTTCAATTCTAAGAAGAATAGCAGACTTTAACTATATTAAATAAGAACAAGCCTGTGCAAGATGAAATTAAAGCCAGAATCCTGTGGTGAATATTAATTAGTATATATGGAAACTTTCTGTCAGAACACAGCTATTTACTTGTTTGTGAGCATAACACAGTAAATTTTCTTTTTCACAATGGCTTTGAGAAGCCTACATTTCTTTCGCATTATCGTAAGATCCACACAGTAGTTCTCACAATCTAACTCAAGAGACATTCTGTCCCTTTTGCACACTAAAGGCACACATTTCTTCTTTTAAAGTAACCAGAAAGTCTATGTCCCAGCCTGCAAATGAGGTCACAAAGGGATCAAAACCACAGAGCCTGCCTGATTGCCCTGAGCCTCTTCACTGAGAATAAGCTAAAATAAAGTTCTGGTGATTTACTGAGTAATAAGCCTTTTATTCAGACCCTGCTGGACTGCCACTATGACTGGGCTGCTAATAAAACAGCAGGGCCTGCTCTGGGAGAGAGTGGGGAGAAAGGGGCGTTGGGGGTGAAGATATGGGGGCAAGTTGGCTAAGGGGCAAGAAGAAGGGGTCACACTTGCAGCTGGTGGATGGTGCCAGTTTAAGAACCAAATCCAACAGAAACCAAATCTCAATCAACAAATTCGTGTTTTGACCAGAGGGCCAAAACCATAAAGCAAAATAAAATAAGAACGAGGGGCCCCTGGCTGGCTCACTGGTAGAACATGAGACTCTTGATCTCTGGGTTTTGAGTTTGAGCCCCAAGTTGGGGGTAGAGATTACTTAAAAATAAAATCTTTAAAAAAAAATAAGAACTACTCTTTGCTCATATTTGATTTACTATACCTTAGAACTAATATTACAGTGCCTTCAGAAAGTGATGTAAAATTCTAGGTGGTAATATTTATAAATGAAGGAAACTGGTAAAAGCAAAGGCAAAAAGCATTATTTATGCCTCCAAATTATATGTACAGAATATACCATAGTCTTGGGAACTGGGACAATCATAAAGAAGATTTCTGAATCAGTAAAAAAAAAAAATGAATTACACAACATGCAAAACATACTGTTTTTATTTTCAAGTATACTCAGTTTACTCTTAAAACTCATAATAAAAAGACCACCTGATGTAAAAATGGGCAAAGGATCTGAAGAGACATGTCTGCAAGGAAGATCTATAAGTGACCAGTAAGCACATAAAAAGATGCTTATTAGCACCATTAGTCATTAGGAAAATGCAAAATAAAACCACAGTAAAATACTACCTCATGTCTACAAGGATACCTATAATAAAAAGGATGGAAATAACAAGTATTGAGAAGGATGTGGACAACCTGGAACCCTCATACACTGCTGGAAGGATTGTAAAATGGTACAAATGCTTTTGGAAGATAGTTTAGCAGTTACTCAAAATGTTAAATATAGAATTGCCACATGACCCAGCAATTGCACTACTAGGTATGCAACCAAAAGAAGTGAAAACTTATGATCACACAAAAAATGTACAATGTTTATAGTGGCATCATTCATAATAGTCCCAAAGTGGAAACAATCCAAATGTCTACCAACTAATGAATGGATAGATGGAATGTGCTATTATTCATACAATGGCAATAAAAAGGGATGAAGTAGTGACACGTGCCATGGCATGGATGAACCTTGAAAATCATACGAAGTGAAAGAAGTCCGTCACAAAGGCTACACAGTGTACGATTCCATCTATAGGAAATGTCCAGAATGGACAAATCCATAGTGACAAAGCAGATTAGTGGTTGCCTAGGGCTGGGAGGAATGGGGGAATAGGGAGTGACTGCTAATGTGTATGGGGTTTTTTTTTTTGAATTGATAAAAATGCTTTAGCATGAATGATGATTTCACAACCTTGTGAATATACTAAGTACCACTGAATTGTACGTACCATAAAATGGTGAATTTTATGGTATGTGAATGAAATCTTAATTGAAAAAAATTAGGATACCATTTCACCTGATTGGGAAAACAGAACACTTCCATCCTGCAGGTTGAGAATGTAACTTGTGAAATCCAATTAAAAAAGCCCTGGCCTCATCTAGTGAAGCTGAAGCTGCCCGCACCCATAACTGAGCCATCTCACGCCACACACCAGCATGTGGGCACTATGGTGTCGTTACAGGAATGTTCAAAGTAACACCGTTTTTTAATATCAAGAAATCGGAAACAAAACTCAAAAGTTTATCATCAGTAAAATGAATAAATAAATTGTGATATATTCATATAATGGAGTTCTATACAGCCGTAAAAATGTATGAATTACAGCTACATTAAATCATGTGGATGGATGAAAAGATCATGTTGAGTGGACAAAACTCGTATCACTAAAGAATATATCATTATGATTCTATTTACATAAAGGTCAGCAGTAAGTAAAACTAAATAATACGTTCTTTCCAGTTTACTATATTTGCATTTGCATCTCTAAGGAAAAGTAAGTGATGATAAATACGAAATTCAAGAGAATGGTTACGTTTAAAGGGCACAGAATGTGAAAGTGTTAGTTAACATACCTGTGATATAACTTTCTAACGCCTTTGGCACCAGCGATTTAGCAAGTTTCAGATCCTCCAGAGAGCATTTGCCTGACTCCAGGCCAAAGGACATTCCCATTCGCTTCAGTACTTCTATGTCATCATGGATCTCAAAGGTGTTGTCAAAATTAAAAAGATATTCAAACCTGCATCAGAAAACAAAGTTAGTATGGAGTTTCAGTGGGATAGGGGAGTGCTGCACAGTATTGTACTCTGTAGATTACATAAAAGAATGAGGGCCTACATTCAGCTATGGTACTAGAAACTGTTAGTGTTTAGAGCCATAATGGTCATTCAGCTGTGTTCAGGGGAGTGACATCTCAAATAAGCCATTTTCCCAATTAAAACAGTTTTCTTATGACAGACAATAGGAGTCCATAAACTTCAGCTCTCATATTAAGCTGTTACAAACAGGGGACAACTTTGGTGTAAAACCAATACTTCCCAAAGTTGTCTATAGCTTTGTCACCAAAAGACAAATTATTAAGAAACCCTTTTCAGTTTAATATATGACATCCGTACTATGAGTTGGCCTATTAAGGTTTGAGGGAAAAAAAACATTTGGATGCTTATTTCATGTTGCTGAATCAAGTACTAACTATAGCATACTTTAGATAAGCAATAAATGGGAGACTTTTTACAAATGAACCAAAACTCAAATCCTATCTTGAGAGCCTAAGAAGTGAAATGACTTAAGGAAAAAGTGCCACATAAATATACGGCATATTTCCAAATGTTCTTGAAAAGTACTGAATCAGGATGCCCAGCTGCCCAGTATAATGTTTCCCAAAAAAGGTGAATATAGGAAAGCACAGTCCTTTTGACTCCTAGGCTAGGCCCCGGGGCGCCTTCACCCACAGGCCTCACCCTACAGGGACGGAGTGCAGGGGAATGTTCTGGCACAGTAGTGGGTTTATGTTGTCATGAAATTCTTATTAAAATCATGAGAAGGTAAAATTAGTCACGCTAGATCTTAGATCAGGGAAAAAATTACAATTCAAAGTGAAATGCCCTCAGGTCATGATCCCAGAGTCCTGGGATGGAGCCCCGCATCGGGCTCCCTGCTCAGCGGGAAGCCTGCTTCTCCCTCTCCCACTCCCCCTGCTTGTGTTCCCTCTCTCGCTGTATCTCTCCCTGTCAAATAAATAAATAAAATCTTAAAAATAAATAAATAAAAAATAAAGTGAAATGCCATGTTTAAATAATCTGAAGTATATAACTCTGAATAAAGGACATTAACAAATTTTCAGGAAAAAAAAAACCCACAAAAAATCTGAAGTGTGTGCCTGTCACAGGGATGATTCCTGGCATATGTTAAAAGCAGATGGTTCTGTAAATTTAATCTCCATTGTGAAAAAGGCTCCAGGCTAATTAGGGAAATTTTCCCCTTATTTCCCCTAAATAAGGGGAAAAGATTGCATCACCTAAGTAACTGAAAGACAAGGCTTTAGGACCTACCTTGAACAACAAGCTTCTACAAGCTGCTCACAGCCTCCTTCCCTTTACTCAGAGAAGGGCTGGGAAAGGGCATGAGTCAGTAACCACCAAGGGATGGAAACCTCACCAGGCCCCAGGCTGGGATGAACAGAATCCATAATTCCCTTAGGCCAATGGTTCCCAGATTCTCTTGCTACTCTTTTTCAGACTTAGAAGACTAAGTGATGAAGAGAATTTAATAATCCCTCACAAAACAAGAGGTTAACTGGAGAGAAAAACTAGAATTCTAGGTCTGTTTTTCCTGAAAATATGTTAAACATTCTCTAGGATTCTCAGTTTTATGAGGATATGTTAACAGTTCCTGTAGATGTAGGTTTTTGTGAAGATTTTGCAATTGTGTGACTAATAATACAGACACATACCATTGTCTTAAAGGACCCAGCCCAGTGGGTCCTTTAAGAACTGATCGGTAACTTTTGAAAAGCAGCAAGTTAAATACTGTAACTCGTACTTTTGTGGAAGAAGCATCCAGATCTCAGAAAGGTTAAGAAACTATGTAGCTAGGAGACAGACTGAAAAATAGATCTTCTGACTTCATACTATTCTTAATTGTGTCTATAGTCTTAATTACCAAATACTTTTGAAATCCCTGCTCACTGTTTTTCTTTTTCTTTTGGCACCTTACTTAAGGGACCTAGAATCTCTGTATGCAATCAAGATAAACAGGGGAAGCAACACAGCCTGAGAAAACAGTGGGAGAGACTGGGGAAGGCTAAGCCCAAGGGCAATGCTGTAGCTCTAAGACCAGAAGTCCCAGTCTCTCTGGATAGTCTTGGACTATGCCTGTGGGACTGATGTCATTACTGAGCCCTCTTTCGCTTTCAAATGAATCCCAATTTGGTGAACAGATTATACGCTGACTCCTTGTAACAGCAGCTAATATTTATAGAGTGCTTGCCTTGCTTGGGTCAGATCCTTTAAAGACATCATGGTATTTAAGGCCTTGGAATCATCTTTTGTTCTTCAGGAAACTGCTTTGAAGCAGCTAAATGGGGGAGCCACAATCCACACTTGGGTCTGTCTCACTCCACACCCTACTCCCTTAACTATCTCAGGACACTGGTCACAGCCTGAAGCCCACTACTATTTTCATGAAGGGTAAAATAAATTACAAGTTAATTCTTAGCAGTATTTTTAAAACTGCTACTTTTCACTTGCTATGATAAATAGCATCATCAACTTTAGTTAAAATGTAAAAAAAATGTTGGTGGGAATGTAAACTGTTACAGCCACCATGGAAAACAGTATGGAGGTTCCTCAAAAATTTAAAAATAAAACTACCATAAGACCCAGCAATCTCACTTGTGGGTATACATCTGAAGGAAAGAGAATCACTATTTCACAAAGACATCTGCACCCCCATGTTCACTGCAGCACTATTTACAACAGAAACAAAAACAACCTGACTGTCCACTGACATATGAATGGATAAAGAAAATGTGGTATGTGTGTGTGTGTGTATAAATGGAATATTTGGCCTTAAAAAAAGAAGGAAATTCTGACATTTGCAACAACGTGGGTGGACCTTGAGGGCATTATGCTAACTGAAATAAATCAGACAGAGAAAGACAAATACCGTATGATTTCACTTATATGTGGAATCTAAAAAAAAAAAAGAACTCATAGATGCAGAGAACAGACTGTTGGTTGCCAGGGGTGGAGGTGGGAGATTGATGAAATGGGTGAAGGTGATCAAAAGGTATAAACTTCTAGCTATAAAATAAGAAAGCAGAGAATGCATCTAGCATTTTCACGTCCATTCTTTAATAAGCAGAAGCACCTCAACTACAATATAGCAAAACAAAGAAACAATTGCCTTAATGCCACATGTTGACCCAAAATATTTCTACACTAAACTATGGAAGGGAATCACCAGTGAACCCATCTTGTCCCAGGCCCTCACTGATGGTCTACTTTAAGGCAGTTACTTGCCCAGGGTTACCACATACGTGTACACACACACACACACACGCACACACACACGCACACCCTGGCTGGGGTCCAAGCTCCACTATGCATACAGGACAGGCAGTACAGTGCCAGGCACAAGACAAGGGGCTGAGAGGGTGAGTGATGAAGAATGCACTAGTAGATGGCAGCACTCCAGGTCTGCAAAGGTGTCTCCCAGAACCCGGGGACGTCAGACAGGGAGGGCTCAGATAATGAAGGACACCCTTCTTTATGTTGCAAATGATAGGAATGTGTTCACGGGAGGCTGGCCCTACAGTCCTCCCCTAGTTCTCCACTCACTTGTCACTGGAAATGCTGCAATCTATGACTGTTTTCCTGCTTGTATTGATGATTATAAATGGCAGCTGAATGGTGGAGTTCAGAGCTGGAGGGCCCTGGTTCTGCTGTTCATTTTGCCGATTTCTCTGAACCAGGTTTTTGAAAGCGATTTGCTGTAATGATCAAGAAAAAGAATACGGTCATTTAATATGGATAAGTGAGTTGGAATTAAATGAATTAAAATAAATACATTTAAGAAATAGTATCAGAGTATTAGAAATTAGAGAGTTTAAATACTATTAGAGAGTTTAAATACTATTAAATAGTATTAACAGTATTAGAAATTAGAGATATTAAAGAGGCCGTCTACCTATAAGTTAATTAAAATGAAACATTTAGGAAAAAAGATTAGAATGATCTAACTCAGATACATTTCAAGGGAAAACATATACTTTTAAATGATGTCTAACATCATCCTAATGTAAATAATGGGGCCTATGGCTTCAGTCATCCATAGACACAGGATCTTACAAATCTGCGAGAGCCCAGGAGCGCCTGCAACTCTTCTTACAGTGACACGGAGAAAGTGATACCAAGTGAACTTATATTTTCCATTTATCTAACACAGACTCTCGGGAGTCTGGGGTTAAATACACCTTTTAGATTGTCGAGATCAGGGATATGCAAACTTTATAAAGCCACAGAATCCTTTCTTCAAATGAAATCTATGGGACACTATATAAAACAGATGAAAGTAGCGTTGCTCTGGCTGACTGCAGGGGGGCAGGAAGTCCAGAGCCCAGCGGCTCTGCCCTCCCTCACCCCTGAGGTTCCTAGGGTACCTCCACAGAATTCCCACATCGTCAGGGCATAGTTGGAATCTGGCCCACCCACCCCCCACCCGACATCTTCCAGACAAGAGGCTTAGCACTTATAAGCTAGATCAAGGTATGAATCTTTATACTGGATCTTGTTGCTACTTTTAGTTTTAACCATTATTTGCAAGTCAAAGAAGAGATTGCCCACCCCCCCACTTTGATAAGACAAACCTATCATAGAATTCCATAGCTAGAAAGACTATGCAATGCAAATTTTTCATCTGCTTATGAAACAGAGTGGTTTTAAAGGCTCCTAAACTCAGATCCACTTGTTCCCTTTCATCGGCGTGTCCCATCTTCTCACCCAGTGGTGATGAATTTCAGTTACTTTCTATGTTTTAGCAATCTTATCCTAGGATTATATATTTTAGGTTCTGAGCCTTAACAAAAGTTTAACTGAGATTATTTTTATCTTAAAATGACTGGGTACTATCCCTAGAAAGTGAACATTTACTCCTAAAATGCACGAAACAGAAGGGATACCAATTTATGCTAAGCCCTGTGTGTCCAAAAATCACTATCAATATCCACCACTATCAAAAAACTATCACTATCAATACTATCAAACATTACTTAAGTGATACTTCATTATTTGCTGCTGGTAAAGGATGTGGGCTGTTTTATATTCGTTGCTTAATTTACTTAATGTTGAAAAAAATACGCTATTAATACTGCAAAACTGAGGAAAAGAATTAAACATTTGAAGATTTCTGCCTAGATTCTCTTCCCTTCTACTAGAAAAAAGCATCTCAGGAGATGCTCGCATACTTTGCTCTAGCTTTGTAGTCCTAGTGCCACGGCTGGGCCTCAGCAGAGGAGGGAGTATCAACAGTAATAAATAAGAGTCCTTATATATGTATGACTCACTATTCAATATTGTGTACATTTAACAGCATCACAGATTTTTCAGGTGAAAACAGCAGTAATAGCATATATAATGTTATTTAGACAGTAAAAAGAAAAATCACCACCTATTTGTTTTGGATGGATTTCCCTTGTTGCCCTTTGATTGAGTTCCTTCAGCCTTTTGTTCTTTTCCAGGCTCATTAACATCAATATCAGAGGCTGAACAGAGGGCAGGTTCACACATTTATTTTGCTATGCATTAGCAGCCCTGGAAAAGGTTTAAGGGCTAGTAGGGACAGTTATATAGCTAAAAGTAGGGTATGTGGATTATCTATAGATACCATCTACTCACACCCTTCTTCGTCTATACTACCAAGGATAAATGAGAAGTAGTGGCAGGTAAGTAAAACTGACCTGTGGCATGTGATGTGTGAGTGGTGACCTTAACTTGTTAAAAATTAAGCTAGCTTTACCACGGTAAATTACTGGTGTTCAGGGACATGTTTAATTTACTTTCTGTGACAACTTCATAAATGTTATTTGATGGATGAGAGATAAAACACTAGCAGGAAATAAGCTGTATGTATGTCTACCAGAGGACCAGAGAGTAGCTGTTTTCAGTTATACTTTGGGTTTCATTTTAATATTGAGAGAGACCTACTTTTATAAATGTTGACAGCTAGGTTGCCCTTGGGTTGAAATCTTCTATAAATGTTTGGTTTGAGAGACAGAAGAGGAAAAGAAATTTAGGACTTAAAAAAATAGTGTTCATTGTACAATGTAAGCAGAGGAAAAAATATTCAACTTCATTCTTTATGAAGGCTGTCTAGGGATGTGAACGTCCCACCTCCATGAGGGTGATCATGCCCAGCACCATTCTTTCTGATAAACAGATAATTACAGGCATACTGATAAACAGGTCTTCTCAATAACATTATGCCAAAAATCAGCTCCAAAATGTTCCACGAGGATTTTGAGGAAATCTGAGGAAGGCCTGGCACAGATGCGAGGGAGTGTGAGCTAGTGGGAAACCGTGTGGGGACAGGGACAGCAGAGGCAGCTGGGGGAAGGCAGTGACAGCATGGATTAGAAGCCCGTGCCTGGTAGGCCAGGTCACAGAAGGTAGAATTCCACAGGGAGGAGCACAGGAATACACTGTCAGCTTTCAGGATTTTTGTTCTGTTTTGTTTTGTAAGCTGCAGAACGCTCTCTTCAAACAAAACCTTATTTGGAAACCTAGTATGAAAAATACATAAAATGCTTGCTCCAGCTCTAGCTCCTCAGGTAGGTCCCCCAGGGTTCGGAGTGAAAAGCAGACACAACATAGTAAGGAAGAAAGAAACGGCCTATCCAGATGGAACATCACCTTTGGAGCTTGCCTATGTTTGGGCAGTGTCTGCTCTAGCTGTTACTATTCCTCCACCCTTGCTCCGCCTCCTTTCCTACTTCCTCAGATCATACGCAGGTCTCTGCAAAGGCTAAATGGTCTTCTCTTGCTGCTCTGATGTATACATGAACTTGGAATAAACAAGCAAATATAAACATCTAGAAAGTAAAAAAACAAAAACGTGGAATATTTAAGAATACCTAACATATTCTGTCCATTAGACAAAGGGCGCATTTCGGAGAAACCCTGCTCCAATATTTGGCAACTTAATTGTTACCTTTATTTCTGAAAAGTGGATTACAACAAAAATTAAACAGGATCTAATGGCTGTCAAATCAAAGTGGATTTTATGAGTGGTTGAAAGCTTTTCATATAAAGATAATTTGCTGATTAAAAAAAAAAAGCATAAAGACCCTCTGGGTTCATTTTAAAAAGGGTTTCTGATTACACTGAAAATGACCCCAGTGTCCGCTCAAAGTGAATTTTTACAGCAACTGCAATTATCAAAAATAAAATTAAAAAAAAAAGTCTATGTGATTTTACCTCACATGATTTCATACACTGGCTCTATTATATTTAAGAAAACCATCCAAATTCCAGGCAATGATCCAAAACAGTATAAATACAGGGATCCTTATTACACTATAAAAGCTAATTTTCTTAAAAAGAAAAGCATTTTAACTTTTGGTATTTCTACAAAGCTTATTGAATCATTATATGTTATTCTGTTATTTACAGATAGTAAGTTATTACAGGTGGATTTGATTATTTTACTCAAAGTGCCTGAAGTTTAACGAGTCTTACTTCTTGATATTCCAAACTAGAGCTAAAATAAACACACACAAAAGGACTTCTGACAGTTTCCGTTCAGAGTAAGAATAAATGTCAGAAGTAAGTCGCTGCATAATATAAGTCATGCACAGGACAGGTGACCTGCCATGGGGCCATGATGATGGTGAGAGACAGAACCACCTTAAAGGCAGACCATGTGGATGGTGGTGAGCTCAGATGTGGAGGAGGCCGCCCCTAGTGTGGTCCCATCAGACACTACTCAAAAGGTAGCCAAAGTAGAAAACACTGATTCTAAAAGCAAGTAAGCAGGGCAGCAGAACATAGGTAGGGAAAAGAATGAAAACCATCCCAGCAACTTTACCTGCAGGAGAAGTTCTTGCAGCTGGGCCCGCTTCTGCTTTATCCGTTCTATCCTCCTCTGCTTCTCTATCTTTAAAAGATAGGTTACAAAATAACATGAACATATGGAAAGTATAAAGTACTGCTCACTTTCCAGGTCCCAATTCTGAGATATCAAGAATTTTCCTTAGGGACACCTGGGTGGCTCAGTCGGTTAAGGTCCAACTCTTGGTTTTGGCTCAGGTCATGATCTCAGGGTCCTGGGATGGAGCCCCACATTGGGCTCTGCGCTCAGTGCACAGTCCGCTTGGAATTCTCTCCCTCGCCAGCTCCCTCTGTCCCTCCCCCTGCTCGTGCTTCTGCGTTCTCTCTCTAAAATAAATAAATAAATCTTAAAAAAAAAAAAAAGAATTTTCCTTAAAACTCAATCCATTTTAGGGGCACCTGGGTGGCTCAGATGGTTAAGCATCTGCCTTCAGCTCAGGTCATGATCCCAGGGTCCTGGGATCAAGCCCCATGTCGGGCTCTCAGCTCAGCGGTGGGAGCCTGCTTCTCCCGCTGCCTCTGCCTCTCCCCCTGCTTGTGTGCTCTCTCTCTCTCATATAAATGGATAAAATCTTAAAAAAAAAAAAAACAACAATCCATTTTAACTACCAATATCAATAAAGACATATCACACCTTTTTGGGGAGCAGGGGGTGGGGTAAGCAAGTAGGCACGATAGCAGAATTGTGGCAACTACTATCATTAATGAAACCCATCCACTTAATAAATACTTGATATGCAGTACTTGTTGCTATTTTCAAATTCTAATTCGAGTAATAGCTAACACTTCGTGAATACTTACTCTGTCTGCCAGCAACTCAACTAAGCACTTTATACACATTATCTTTTTTTTCCCCCTACACACATTATCTTAAGGCATCATGAGGTTAGTACTGTTGTTACCCATTTTGCATGTAAGGAAATGGAGGCACAGAGGGTTAAGTAACTGCCCAAGGTCACATAGCTAGTGAATGGTAAGAGTAAGGATTTGAACCTAAGCCATCTGGTTCCAGAGACCCTACTGTTAAATACTTTCTTATGTTACCCCCTAACCCAAAGAATGAGGTAAGAGCTCATTTAAGATTTTAGTTTAACTGACTTTTAAATGGGCATAGCTCCTAATACAGATAGCCTACATATTCAATACACAATTCCTACTTGTAGTAAGGAACATGCTTATGGGACAAATTTCCCAGCTTCATGCAACTATTATTTTCCTCACTCTTACAACTACCTAGAAAATAGGTATTAGGGCCTGAATTTCCTTGCAGATGAGTTCCTCACTGTGTCTTTGGGCAAAAGTCAATGACTTCAAACATGACATTTTTCTTGTCTACTCCAACAGCGTTTCTTATTTGCTCCTCATCTACTCTAGTCTGCACCAAGAGTTTCCTCTCATTCTTCCTCTAACCACTAAAGCACTTTCATCCTAAATTACTTAAGATTCACTAGAAAAATCTATGTGGCTTTCTACATTTGAAAAGAGTTTCCCCCCTGTATCTGCAGCTGTGACAGGCCAGGCCCCTCCCTGCCCCTCATGCCCCCCATCTAACACCAGGCCAAGTTGTATCGATTCTACCTCTAACTTTTCCAACCTCACGCCACTGATTTAACTCAGACCATATACAACCCACCCCCTTCAATTTCCCTCCTCATCTTCCTATTAGCTCAACTTCCAACCCACCAGGAAGGTGACCCTTTATAGAATATGTCCTATCAGTTGTCCTCTTTATAATTTTTCAAAAGCTTCCCACTGTTTCCAGGATCAGGTCCCCAAAGCTTCACACTTAGAAGTCTATCCCCTTTAGCCCTGCCTGCACTCTGGTCACACCCAGCTGTGTGCATGCTTTCTTTCGCCTGCCTCAGTCCATGCACGGCCTCTGGAAGACCCTCCCTGCCCTGAACCACTGGGCAAACGCCTATACCTCCCTCATCACTGAGCTCAAGGAATTTTTTCCTTTCTTCGTAAAGTATCCCTCATCTCCCTTTCCAGAGAATCTGTATATACATCTTTCACAGAAATAATCGATCACAGTTTTGGTAACTTCTTTTACATTTTTCCTTTACACAATTAGAATGAAAGCTCCTGGGGTCAGAGATTTATTTATTTATTTATTTATTTATTTATTTATTTGAGAGAGAGAGAGAGAGAGAATGAGAGATAGAGAGCACGAGAGGGTAGAGGGTCAGAGGGAGAAGCAGACTCCCTGCCGAGCAGGAAGCCCGATGTGGGACTCGATCCCGGGACTCCAGGATCATGACCTGAGCCGAAGGCAGTCGCCCAACCAACTGAGCCACCCAGGCGCCCTGGGGTCAGAGATTTTGTCTTGTATACTTGGGTACACACACAGTAACTTCTAATAGATTTCTGCTTATTGAGGCTCTGTTATCAGCTTAATATTACTGGTAATAAAAATGATGCTTGGGACGCCTAAGTGGCTCAGTCAATTAAGTGTCTGTCTTCAGCTTAGGTCATGATCTCAGGGTCCTGGGATCGAGTCCCAAATTGGGCTCCTTGCTCAGGGCGGAGCCTGCTTCTCCCTCTGCCTGCCGCTTTCTCTCTCTGACAAATAAATAAAATCTTTAAAAAAATTAGAGAAAAAACTTAAAAAAAAAAGATCCTCAAATTCTACTCAATCAGAAGGAGAAAAGGAGGTCATTTCCACTGTAACATACGAGTAACATTCTATAACTTTTGATGAATGTCTAATTTCTCCCTCCACCCACAAGGACAATAATACCAAATAAGTTTTGATTTGCTGAGGGGAAAAAGGACTAATAAAAACATGAAATCAACCATATTTATTGCAGAAACTATATTACTATATTTAACCTCAATGTATTCCATTTTTGGCCATGACAGTACAATGAGGTCAAATCAATTTAAAACCAGTAGGTCAGGGCACATGCTCATATAGGAAAGATTTTCTTTCTTTCTTTTTTTTAAAGACTTTATTTATTTGACAGAGAGAGACACAGAGAGAGAGGGAACACAAGCAAGGCAAGTGGGAGAGGGAGAAGCAGGCTTCCCGCAGAGCAGGGAGCCTGATGTGGCTCGATCCCAGGACCCTGAGATCATGACCTGAGCTGAAGGCAGACGCTTAACGACTGAGCCACCCAGGCACCCCAGGAAAGATTTCTATAATGATTAAAAGTTAATGGAATAAAACAATGTTTTTGCACACATCACCCCAAAATTCATGTAAGCTGAACATTCTATCCTTTCTGATAAAGATACAGATGAAATATCATTCTGTTGCCACTGGTGTGAGAATCAAAGATAAAAGTTTAAACACAAAAGGTAAACAGCCAGTTTGATCCTTTTTTGGGGGGGGGGAATCCAGCAAAGCATTTCATCAAATAAGATATTATTTCTATTTATGAGTTGTCAAAAATTTATTGGTAGAGTGCTCAGAATTCAACTAGAATAAAATAAAGGTCTTCTCTAAGAAACAGTAAAAATCAAGTCATTTAATTTCTATGTCCCTCAGTTTCATCAGGACATCAGTCAAACTATACACCTCTCTAAATCTCCTTCCAGTTCTAAAATTCTTACACAGAGGAGTCTGTTAAAAAAATAGTATACATGAACAATTAGAAATATTTTAATATTATATGTATTTCCAAATTAAAATGCCTCTTATGGGGGTGCCTGGGTGGCTCAGTTGGTTAAGCATCTGCGTTCGGCTCAGGTCATGATCCCAGGGTCTTGGGATCGAGCCCCGCGTTGGGATCCCTGCTCGGAGGGGAGTCTCCTTCTCCCTCAACCTCTGCCACTCATCCTGCTTGTGCTCTCTCTCTAATAAATAAATAAGATCTTTAAAAGTAAAATAAAATGCCTCTTATATAAAATAAAGCAAACTACTATCTAAAAACAGATTTTCCTCACTTACCTCAAGATTTTGACATTCCTGAGCAGAATTGGTAGGCAGGCCAATCCACTTGATTTCTTTTTTTTCCTTTGAAATTATGTTCATTGCCATTAGCACATTTAAAGCATCATAAACTCTTCTCCTAATATTCTTCTGGTCATAAGCCTGCTAAAAAATACTTTTAATGAGCGATAAATTTTAAGGGTTAAGATATAGTCACAGGATATTAAGATATTTAATTATATTATTATTATATCTTTGGAGTGCTTATAGAATTCTATATACCCAGTGAAAATATCCTTCAAAAGATGAGATAAAGATACTTTCAAACAATCTAAAAGATAAAAGATTATTTTAGCAACAGATCTAAATGAAAAAATACTAAAGGGCCTTTTTCAGGTAGAAGGAAGATGGATGGGATCCAAGGTGGAAGTCTGGAGATGTAGGATGTAATGAAGACCAACATGAAAGATAAATATGTGGGTATATCTCAATTAACACTCACTTTATAAAACAATAATGTCTTATGGAATCAAGAATATATATAAAACATATATGACAACAGTATATATATATCAGAAAGGGGTAATGGAGTTGTTAATTAAAGTGGGTTAAAACCCTGCATTGTCTGGGAGGATATGAGACTTTGAAAAGTCAAGGATGCATGTTTTAAAACAGTGCTTTTCAAGTATGTGGTCCAAGGACTAGTGCAGATCCGAAAACTGTTACTAGTCTACAATGAAAATAGGGAACTTGCACCAAAATGTCATCACATAGCTCACTAAAGCACTGTTTACTTCAGCTGATTTTTAAAAAGTTTTTGTAGCAAGATTTTTCTCAATGAAGGAGACTGTGTTAACTTAGATTGTGGAAAAAAACCCTTACTTTGTTGTGGACAAACAGTTCCTAAGAAAAAAATCCAATCAATCAAATGCCATTATACTAGAGGATGGTGGAGAACACTGAATACAGAACTAAACTTAAATAAGTGGGAGATTTAAGTTACAGAAGTGATTATAAATATTAGAAATCCTGACACTATAGAAATAATGATAATATAATAAAAAATATCAGGAGACAAAGTAGGCCTGATGTTCTCCTTGATATTTAAAGGGGCATGGGATTCAAAGCAGATGAACTATTCAAACAGATGAAGTATGTAATGTTTTAGCACAATATGTTTATTTAAAGTCATAATAACTGTAATAATATTATTCTTTTAACAACTACCACTAATATATTCAATCTGAATCTGTGGTGAACAGGAAAGATGGGAGATGCAAGTAAATACAAGCATATTAATTTTTTTCCCTTAATAATCAACAGATACTGGTTTATAGGTGATAACAAACAAAAGAAACAAAATATTTAAGTTACTTAAAGTTATAAAGATAACCAATTAAAGAACTAAAGACTATAAACCTTCCAATTTATAAAAACAAAAACCAAAAAACACCACATACAGCAGGGAATAGGAACCCAGGGAACAGGATACAACCCTTACTTGTATCCAGGCATGGGGATGGGGGCGGTTAGTAAAAGTGTATGTTAGATGATGAAATGTGCTAAGAAGAAATGCCTCAGTGCAGTGACATCTGAGTGAAAACTGGAGGGGAGAGCGAAACCATATGGCTCCTTAGCAGAGATTCAGAGAAAGGAAATAGCAGGTGTAACAGCCTGATAAGCAACGTATCTGGCATATTCACCCCAAAACAAAAAACGAACAAAAAGCCCACCAGTCTCATTCATGACTGCCAGTGTACAACTCCTAAATTTTCAGGAAACTATACAGAATTTGATTGAATTCAATATCCATTTCTGATTTTTTTAATGAAGAAAAATGAAAGAAATGTTCACTTAAAAAGATCAAGTTATGGTTGCTATCATTTCAAAATAAAACCTTTATCATAAGGTGACCAGAGTCTAGTAACTGGGAGAGTGCATAGTAGGAGATGAGATCAGAGAGGTAATGGCGTGTCAGGTCATGTAGGGTCTTGTAGAACATTTTGAGAATGTCCACTTTCACTCAGAATCAGAATGCTATATATCTTCTCTACAGGTGCCAGAGAAAAGAAAAAAATACATTACCAAATAATGGCTCACAAGAAAAATCTCAAAGTAACGCCCCCAAATATAAATAGTTCAACTCATAATCTCTGATCACAGGTAATGAAAAACTCAGTAAAAATTAAAAACTCAGAAAAACACGGGGCGCCTGGGTGGCTCAGTTGGTTAAACTGCTGCCTTCAGCTCAGGTCATGATCCCAGAGTCCTGGGATCGAGCCCCACATCGGGCTCCCTGCTCATGCAGGAAGCCTGCTTCTCCCTCTGCCTGCCGCTCCCCCTGCTTGTGCTCTCTCCCTCTCTCTCTCTCGCTATCTCTCTCTGTGTGTCATACATAAATAAAATCTTTAAAAAAAAAAAAAAGAAAAACAAACAAAAATCCCTATCACCTGGAACTATAAAAACTCTAATGCTATTCTTAGGTCAGAGAGGAATTTAAAACAAGAGTTGCAGAATATTTAAAGAATAACATTATATCAGAATTAATGGGAAATGGCTAAAGCAATGAACGAGAGGAAAAGTTGCAGCTATAAAGATTTTCATTACTAAACAAAAATAACAAAAGTAAAGTTTATATCCAGTCTACAGGGTAGAAAAATAACAAAAGTAACTTCAGGAAAGAGAAGAGAATATTAAATGAAGATTAAAAAAAGACATTAACTGCAAAACAGGAGGTTCGGTTCAGATTCAAGAGATGGTTCTTTGGGAAAAATAATTGCAAGTAATTTTGAGAACAGATATGAAATGGGCACCTGGGTGGCTCAGTTAGTTAAGCGGCTGCCTTCGGCTCAGGTCATGATCCTGGAGTCCCTGGATCGAGTCCCACATCGGGCTCCCTGCTCAGTGGGGAGTCTGCTTCTCCCTCTGACCCTACCCCCTCTCATGTGCTCTCTCTCTCGCTCTCATTCTTGCTCTCTCAAATAAATAAATAAATAAAATCTTTAAAAAAAAAAGAACAGGTATGAAATGGAGGATTTTCTAAGAAAACATAAAATACCAAACTGACTCTAAGGGAGACAGAAATTCTAAATAGACTAATTACCAAAGAAAAAATGGAGAATGCTATTTAAGCTTTACCCCCCCGCCCCCCCACCCCAGCCAAATCGCCAGCCTAGATGGTATCACAGGTGATTTCTATGTCAGGGAAGAGAAATACACATCCAATGCTATTAAACCTGTAATGGAGTAAAGAGGAAGAAGGGAAAAAAAGCCTCTAAATTTTAAGAAAACAGCGTAACACTGCAAATCAAAACTGCAAAGATGGTAAAAACAAAAAAAAATCCCACCAATCTCACTTATGACTGTCAATGTAAAACTCCTAAGTTTTCAGGAAACTATACAGAATTTGATTAAATATCCATTTCTGATTTTTTTTAGTTAAGAAAAAAGAAACATTCATTAAAAAAAAAAAATCAAGTTGGGGCGCCTGGGTGGCTTAGTCCTTAAGCATCTGCCTTCGGCTCAGGTCATGATCCCAGGGTCCTGGGAACGAGCCCCGCATCGGGCTCCCTCCTCCACGGGAAGCCTGCTTCACCCTCTCCCACTCCCCCTACTTGTGTTCACTCTCTTGCTGTGTCTCTCTCTGTCAAATAAATAAATAAAATCTTTAAAAGAAAAAAATCAAGTTATGGTTGCTATCATCTTAAGATAAAACCTTTGTCATAACTAAGGTTGGAAGACTATAAATATTTCCACTAAAGTCAAGAACTGTTGTAAGAATTGTTATGGAGTATGTATGATTACATTTAAATAAAATGCAAACTGATCTATAATGATAAAAAGCAGATCAGCAGTTGCCTAGGGACAGCGGGAGAAGGAGGGACAGATTACAAAAGGCAGAAAGAACCTTTTGAAAGTGACAGAATCGTTCTTTATCTCTCTCTAAAATAAATAAAATCTTTAAAAATAAAATAAAAAAGGAAATAAATTTTATTGTGTGTATGCATAAGGAATTTTTGGGATGATAATCAAGAATCTCATAGTAGTAAATATACCTTTGGGGAGACAGATTAAGGTCTGTGGTAAAAGGGAGATATTTTGGGGCACCTGGGTGGCTCAGGTCATGACCCTGGTCAGCGGGGAGCCTGCTTCTCCCTCTCACTCTGTAGCTCCTCCTGCTTGTGATTGCTCACTCTCTCTCTCAAATAATAAATAAATAAATAAATAAAATCTTTAAAAGGGAGATATTTTTTATCATATACTCTTTGGTACAACTGAATTTTTTATAGACATGTTCATATATTATTTTTTCAACTAAAAACAACATAGATTTTTATAGAAGAAACACTAAAGAATTCAGAAACATATCCAAAGTCATTCAAATATGAAAAGTATGTTCCTGGGCACCTGAGTGGCTCAGTTGGTTAAGCGTCTGTCTTCAGCTCAGGTCATAATCTCAGGATCCTGGGATTGAGCCCAGAGTAGGCTCTCTGCTCAGCAGGGAGCCTGCTTCTCCCTCTCCCTCTGCCCTCCACGCCCCCAGCTTGTGCGCTCTCTCTCTAATAAATAAAATCTTAAAAAAAAAAGTATGTTCTTTCTGTAGCCCCAAAAATTATATTTTAAAAATATATGTTAATCTTTATGTTTAAATATATAATAAAAGAACCCTTTCTAAAACAAAACAAATAAAAACTCAATAACAAAAGAATTCCCCAGTAGAAAATATGAAACCCTCAGGTAAAGGAGTCGGGGATTCCTTAGCTTGTCTGAGTCCTTAAAAAATGACACAGTCAACCCAGAGATACAGTGTTCCGCCAACACAGTCAAAGTCAAGTGCATGATCTATCTACCTACCGAATCAGCGGCCAAATGGTTATTTGAATTGGTGAACTCTGATACCAGCTCATCAGCCACTTCATTATATGATGTTGTACCTTTCCGCTGAACTTTCTCACACACTTTCATGGAAAAATGTCTCAAGCCTTTTCCATTTTTATCTCCTTTTTTGCTTCGTTTACTAAAAGAGAAAAAAAATATATATTTATACATCAGACTTCCTTTATAAAACTATAATGTGAGAATATAATAATTTGATTTTTGCTTTATGTGGTAAATTTTAAATTGAATTAGAGATGAAGAAATGTTTTGAACTTAATTTTTGCCTTAAAATCTAATAAAATATGAAGTTAGAGTGTTTTCTATACACATCATTCGTTTATTCAACAAATATTTATTGACCAGTTACTTACTATTATGTGCTGGGTTCTGTTCTACACACTGGGAATAAATCCATGAGAACAGACAAAAACGCTGCCCTGATAGTTACATGTTTACCTTTTTGTATTCTATGTGTGCTATAGTTCTTTTTTATGTAAAATTAAAAGTACCACTATTCTCAGTTTCATTTATCTACTCAAATTTCAAACAGAGGTCATTGGTATTAATAAAAGATCTAAGTCTTCAATTATTTTAACTTTGGTTAATGTCTAGTCCTAAACTTCGGTAACTTATTAAATTTTCAGGGGTTCAATTTAGTTCTACTAATTTCTGAGTGTCAACTATATGCCAAGAACTGCAGTACGGACTAGAGTAAAAAACGACAACTGAGGTAAAATCCTTTCCCTTAGTATGAGTCTTGGGGGAGGGGGAAAGACAAATTAGACCTATAAGGACAGATAATTCGAACATAGTAAGGTAAGTGCCAAGTGAGAGTTATTTACAAGTTCATGGGAATTGGGAAGAGGGACATCTTACCTAACCTAGAGGAGAAAGGCTTGCTGGAATAAGCCAAATGAAAACAATCAACAAAATAAAAAGGTAACCTATGGAATGGGAGAAAATATTTACAAACCCTTTATATGATAGGGGGTTAATATCTAAAATATCTAAGACTCCAACAACTCATTAACAAACAAACAAAAAACCCCAAATAACCCAGTGAAAAATAGGCAAAAGTCATGAACAGAAATTTCTCCAAAGAAAACACATAAATGGGCGCCTGGGTGGCTCAGATGGTTAAGCGTCTGCCTTCGGCTCGGGTCATGATCCCGGGGTCCTGGGATCGAGTCCCACATTGGGCTCCCTGCTCAGCGGGGAGCCTCCTTCTCCCTCTGCTTCTCTCTCTCTCTCATGAATAAATAAATAAAATCTTAAAAAAAAAAAAGAAAACACATAAATGGCCAAGAGGTATATGAAAAGGTGCTCAACATCACTAATCATTAGAGAAATGCAAATCAAAACCACAATGAGGTATTACCTCATATCTGTTAGGATGGCTATTAAAAAAACAAAACAAACAAAAGAGATAAGTACTGGTAAGAATGTGGAGAAATAAGAACCCTGGTACACTGCTGGTGGGAATGGAAAATGGTATAGTCACTATGAAAAAAGTATGGAGGTTCCTCAAAATATTTAAAATAGAATTTCCATATGATCCAGTGATCCTGTTTCTGGATATATATCCAAAAGAACTGAAATCAGGATCTCAAAGAGGTATCTGCATTCTCATGTTCATTGCAGCAAATTCACAATAGCCAAGATACGGAATCAACCTAAACGTCCATAGGTAGATGAAAGCATAAAAAATAATGTGGCATATACATACAATGAAATATTATTTGGCCCTAAAAGAGAATGAAATCCTGCCATATGCGACAACATGGATGAAGTTGGAGGACATTATACTATGCCAATCACAAAAGGACAAATAATGCATTATCTCATTTATATAAGGTGTCCAAAACAGTCAAACACATAGAAGCAAAGAGTAGAATGATGCTTGCTAGGGGCTGGAGGGAAAGGGAAATAGGGAATTGTTCCACAGGTTCAATAAAGTTTCAGTTATGCAAGATGAGCAACTTCTAGAGATCTGCTGTATAACATAGTGCCTACAGTTAATGATAATGTACACCTAAAAATTTGTTGGGGGTAAGTCTCATTTAAGTGTTTTCACCACCACCACCACCAAAACAAAAGAGAACTGTCAAGTGAAGGAAGTTAGGAAGGGCAACCAGGCAGAAGCAGCAGCAGTAAACACATGGGAGAGTGAAACAGATGATAAATGTTCAGAGACTTAAAAACAAACAGTACAATATTACCAGAATATAAAGTGCAAGGAAAAAGATGAAGCAGAAAGGGAGATAAATGGCCAGGCCCTTAAATGGCATGCAAAGGAACCTGTATTTTATCATATTCCTTTAGTATAATTATATTCATTTATAAATTATTTACACATCCTTCTGTGTTATATACATTAAGAAATAGACTAAAATGTACTTTTTAAAAGAATGAGGGAAGGACAGATAGCTACTTTCTTTTTCCCACATTCCCAAAGAATCACCTGTGGTCACAGACTACTACTGAAATACTGGGAAGCCACTAAAGGTAGTAAGTCGGGGAGTAACAGTGAGATTTTCAGTTAGGCAGAGATTCTAGGTGCAAAGTAGAAGATGCATTTATGAGGGGCAAAAGCAAAGACCAGACGAGAGGCAAGCCTAGGCAAGAAATATCGAGTCCTGAAATTGGGGCAACTGGATAAGTAGGGTTGGATAAGAAGAGATGGATTTATGTAAATTTTAAAGATAAAAATTTATCTTTATCTTTACTAAGTGACTGATTTATGTGAATGTTAAGAAAGAGGGAAATAAGAGAATGACTCTTAGAAAGAGGGTCATTTACTGAGATCAAGGAGACAGGAACAAATTCATGAGTTCCATTTTAAACCTCCTCATCCACATGGTCCAATATCTAGGTATAATCCACATGCAGCTATTAAGCCCTTGAAATCTGGGAAGTCTGAATTAAGATGAATTCACTGAATCTCAAAGACTTGTACGAGAAATGAATGTAAAATATCTCATGAATATTTTTTACATTAATTGTATGTTGAAATATAGTATTTTAGATACACTAGATTAAATAAGAGATAATAAAAACTAATTTCAGGGGTGCCTAGATAGCTTAGTTGGTAGAGCATGCGACTCTTGATCTTCAGGTGGGAGATTACTTAAAAATAAAATCTTAAAATTAATTTTGCATTTGTTTTTATTTTTTAAACTGGCTATTAGAAAATTAAAAATTACATGTGGCTTGTATTACATTTCTATTGGTCAGCAATGATATTGAGTTTGACATGTCAGTAGAATAACCCAATCAATATATTCAATAGATAGTTGAATATATATGTAAGTCTCACTTTGTAAGTGAGATGACAGGACAGGTCACTTACAAACTCATCGGCATGTGTACCCATTCCAACCTTCTTCCTATCAGTCTTAGAGGATTAGGTTTCCCTGTTTGTTGTTAAATCTAACTTCCCTTTTTAAGATAACAGCTTTATTGAAATATAATCCAGGTACCGTAAGCTCCATCTTTTAAAGTATACAATTCAGCAGCAACCATCACCACAATCTAATTTCTTCACCCTAAAAAGAAACCCTGCACCCACTGACAGTCATGCCTCACTCCCCCAGCCCCTCTTCCTTCCTTCTTCTTTCTCTCTCCCTTTCTCCCTTCCTTTTCTTTCTCCCACCCTCCCTTTTATTTTTTTTTCCTTTCTCTCTGTCTCTGTCTCTTTCTCTCTTATCTTCCTTCCTTTCTTTTTTTACGTAGGCTCCACGCACAGCGTGAAGCCTAATTCGGGGCTTGAACTCACTACCCTGAGATCAAGAGTTGGATGCTCAACTGACTGAACCACCCAGGCACCCCCAAAGTCAACTTTTCAACTTGAATTTTTCACTCCAGAGCTTGTGTCTGTATTGTTTGCTCTCCTTGAGCTGTTCTATCCAGTGTTTGTTTTTGATATATACCTTTATTATGAAACTGGAATCTGATCAAGACTTCAGATCCAACTACCACTTTAAAGGAAATACCAAGGACAGAAGAACATGTTAAACTGTATACTACAGGGATTCAATAAGCAACCTCTTGGGGCTTTTTCTTTAGGATACATAATGTGGTTTCTTCAACTAAAAAATTTTAAGGGAAAAAAGGAGGGAAGGAGGGAGAAGGAGAGTGAAGGGAGAAAATAAATACAGAAGAGGGATCTACAGATTTTATAAGACATATAAATTTATTTAAATCCTGATTCAAATGGACTATAAACACACACACACACACACACACACACCAGTTATGGGGGAGTCTGAGAAAATAGCAATAGCAGCATAGTTTTCAAACCCTCCAAATGCCCACATAAAAACAGAGCAACTAGATAGCAAAACCAAAACTCCTTGACAGCATTTACAAAACTAGATGACAAGGTATCCTCAACAAGCCCCAGAATACAAACCACCAATAGCCAAAAAGCCTGCACAATAAAGAAATACTCAATGGGGCTGCACTTAACAGAACTCAGAACAGGATAATCCCAAAATAGCCATCAAGAAATACTAGAAAGCACAACAGGCCAATTTGAGAGCATCAGTTGAAACAAGGAGTTTTACCCTCTTCCATACCAGCTGAGTGCAAGGACCACAATAAAGCTGCAACAATCTAGTCTGTAGGACTCCCACAATTGATATTCAAGAGAAAATGACAAATACTGGAGGTAGGCAAAGTATCTACAGACAGTAAGAGTATCTGAAGAAGAAAAACAAAGCAAGAAAACAGAATAAATACTAAATGCCAAATTCAAGAATATGTTCAGAAATAAATAATATCAACCCAGAATGACAAGTACCAAAACATTCTAGTAAAATTCTGAATTTCAAAGAAAAAGAATCCCTTATGCATCTAGAAGAAGAGTATCCGATTTTTCAACAGCAAGGCATTATGCCAGAAGAAAATAAATATATTTAGGAAACTGAAAGAAAGCATGAACCGAGGATTTTTGTATCCAGTGAAACTGACTTAATTCAAATATAAAAAGCACAAACCCAGGAATTATTATTTCCATGAGCTCTTCCTGAAGAAACCACTAGAGCACAAAGCTTCGGACAATCAAAATGACTAGAGAGACATTCACTTAACACCTGGTGATGTTACCTATAGATATAGTTACCTATAGATCTAAGACTA